GGACCGATGAATGTACGAGATGTACTGACCGATAAATTTACGCAAAGGATTTCGCGTGTGGACAAATTATCTGGTGAAATTTTCGTTCCCATCGAGAACACGTTCCGTTAAAATTAAGTCGTCGTATCGAAACGGCTACCATATAAAGTTTTACAAAGAGTTTCAAGAGTTTAAATCTAACGTAAGTATTTTGAGCGTAAAATACGAATTATTTCCATCGATCGATATTGAAGTTTCGACGAAAATGGTAATTTCGAAAGTGCTCGAATTATTCGTTAAATCTCGAAATAATTGCGCAAACGGCGAAGCTAAAAGCGTTGTCCGAGTCATTCCGAATTGACCATGACACGAGTTGCTCATTCAAGGAGATCGAGTGAGATGCCTATAACCCCAATGCCAAAATTATCGAAGCCGAATATTAGGATTTTCTTGTTGGATACATGTATATATTATTTCTCCGTTAAATATTTTAGTCTCACACTTCTGCGTTATATGAAGACAGTTTATTGATATTGATTAAGTAATCTCTTCGACTTCTATCTTATCTTTCGATGAATTATCGATATCTCTTTTGATTGGAAATTAAGCGATCGAAGGATATCCGAGTTTTTTTTAAATATGCAGCAATCTTGCAGCAATCTTGGTGACTTTGATCTTGGTACCTATAGGGAAACATCGGAAACTAGATCAAGGAATTGCGTAATCTCGAATTGATCTCTCCTTTTAGCAAAACCGTTATTTTCTCTCTATGATTTCTTTTTAAAGTTTTCCAATAATTTTTATCTATCTTTTTTTAATTCGTATCGTAATCTATATGCTATTACAATCTTTATGCGTTAATATTGTCGCTTATTATCAGATAGCTGTTAAACGTCTATTATTGTTCTATTACAATTTCTAAAATTTTGTAAAAATTTATATTAGAGATACTCGATCATTTTGCTATTTCATTGAAATCCATCCAACTCCTTATTATTATTATCACTTCTATATAATCTGTATCTTCTAAGATATCGAATTTCTCAAACTAACACTTTTTTTAAACCACAACTATTATCATTCCGTCACAAAGGATCCTCTTCCAAAGAAGCTGGTTCTTTCTTGATATGATCAATTCTTTTTTCTCGTACGGAGTCTTATAAATGTACTTTAATTAATGAATCGAATATCAATTCTCTTCCATATCAGTTCTCCATTTCACGGCATCACATTCGTTGGCCAAGAAGAGGTCCAGGGCGCAGAATGAAAATAAGCATCGACCCGATCGGCGTCGAATCATCGCCGATTCTAAAGATAAATTCCGCGGTGCGGTGTACGTTTTCACAGGCCCGTACGTAGAAAATCCTCAGCGTTGATCTTTCTGTGTGCACACATCGATGGTGGTAGGGATACAACGTTCGGGAACGAGAAGGAGCAACAGGCAGAGAGAGAGAAAGAAAGAGAGAACCGCATCCTGGCGAAGCGACGTCATTTTCGTCTTTTACGATCGCGAGGAGAGAAGCCCGCGAGAAAAGGTGGGAGCCACGACGAACGGTTGTAGCCGAAGCTTTCAGCGGCCAGTCGAGACTTAGCCTGCGAGTCAGACGCATCCCAGACGACGAACGAACCTGAATACTTGCCCCGTGAGTAAGCATGTGCACTTTTTTCAGTCCGTACCACGTCCGATGCACAACGAGTTTTCGCCTTTCGACCTCGCGTTTCTTTCAGGACCTTTCCTGGATCCGCACGATCGTGACTCTAGTTCCCTCTAAAATCTGTATATGGTGTGTGCTTGTGTGTGCGCCTTGTGTGAACGAGGAAAGTGATGTGTGTGGGTACGCGAAAGTGAAGAGGGACCAAGGAAGAATTCGAATAGAGGCGGGTGATCTCGTATGATATCGTGAGAGATTTCGCTTTTGCAGTTGAACCAAGTGATAAATGAAACTTGGATTGTCTTGGGCCTTTCGTCTCTTTTTTGATTGGTAGTCATATTAAGTTTAAATTGTCGTAACTGGAACGTATATCGAAATACGCCCGCATTCCACGAAGGCAAGTTTGAAAAGCGATCGGTTATTATGCAAATTTCGGCGCTCGTTTCGCAACGTGGTGGCCCGCGACTTGTTGTCACCCATCGTGCAGCCACGGTGATATCAGAAATATGTGCGTGTGACTCATGAAAAATTTCAAGTATTCACGCGTAACCGCTGTGACAACATTGTCCCAGACTACCGATCTCCTTGGTGTACCGGGAGTAGAAGGAATTTCTAGCTACGAGATAGCAGATCGCGGTCACGATGTTGTTCCGGACGCTCGCTGATAACGAATTCTCGAAAGAACGAATGCACGCGTTGCTCTATATTATCTTTCTTTTTTAATATTCGGTGCAGAGGATCGATGAAATCGTCAGAGCAATCGTGCGATCCTAGAATCGATGATTCATCGGTTGGCATCGGTTGGCAATGATAAGTCGAAAATCACTAGCTCCACAACTCGTTATATTTGTGTGTTTTATTTTAATCGAATATATTTATAAAAATATTCGATTTCTATTTCATGATCTAGGTCGTATTCTTTTACAGACGAATTTCTTATTTGCTCCAAAAGAGATGTAGAACAATCTTCATTCGTAACGTATGTGGATTGTGCAAAAATTTCCAGATCAAGTGTCAGAAATCGTAGCGATAGTAGACTAAGGTAGGGAGGAAAATTTTCTTTCCAACGTAACAAGACACCGATCCGAATGGAGTAACGAAACTCGGCTATGCGTAACCCGAAAAGGTTCGACGGCAGGCGGCTAGCGACGATTCCACCCTCTCCTCTCGCGTGTAAAAATAACCCTCTCCTTTGATACAAGCTTCTTTACAATCCGGCAGCTCGGCTTATTTTTTATTCAAAGTTATTTCGACCGAGTGCTCCGTAACTTTCGGTAGGTTTGACTTCATCAAAATCTATAATCCAAAACGAAAGTTATTATATTGTATTTTTTAAATTTCACATTTTGTTTTTGTGATTTTATTACATTTATTACATTTATGATAAAAATAATGGTATCATCGATTTAGGTTAGACGGTATTTAAATTCCACAGAGTAAAGGAGAAGTGATGACGCGAAGAGGTTCATTTCTTCAGAACATTATGTCTAGAATTTCTGTTTCTTTGAACTGGTTGGAACTCTGTTTTTTCTCTCTCTCTCTCTCTCTCCTCTTTACATACCTGGTATCTCTGATTACCAGTAAGCCAGGAATCATACATACTCGCTCATATAGAAGATATGATACGAAAACAAGAATTCAAGAACCAAACTTCATTCTCTTTTTTTTTTTTTATTTAAATACCAAATTTCATTTTCAAACCTTAAAAACTGAAGAAAGATCGAAGAATGATGTCCTTGATTAAAATTTCACTCCTGATCGGTCCAAAAAGAAAACACGGTTCTAAAAACAATATTGGTAAGAGTGTCCGAAGGAAACAATGTCTGGAATGTTTCCACGAAGAAAATTAACCCGTTCGTGGCTCTGTCCTGTTGGCCATATCGGTCTCTCCCGCTTCTCGCGATGCATCGGTTTCGCTCGTGTAGCGAAACGAGCGCATAAAATGCGAAAGAATACCCGCGAAGGATCTTCTCCTCGGTTTCGCCTCGGTTCGTCCTGTAGGATCGCATACCTGAATGTCTGACGTCACGAGTGAGGAAGAAAGACGCCTCGGAGCAGCGAAGACGTTTGATTTTATATATACGGACACGGTACAGAGCCCGGGCCTTCTTGAGCAAGAACCTGCCTCTATAAATAGGATATCCGGTCGTTCGCTAATTATACTTCGATGCATGCTGTCCGCATAGCGAAAACTTGCGCGAATTCTCTGTCGAATTCTGCGATTTCCTCGACAATTATCATTGTCACGCCTCTAAGGACAAGCGAGATGTTGGAACGAAAAAAAAAAAAAAAAATGGAAAGAAAAAAAAGAAAAAAAAGATGTCGAAGAAAAATGAAAAAGCATGAGGATTAAAACGGAACGCGGTTAATTGCATTCGTAATTCGTCTCACGGTCATTGAAATCTGCGGCGCGATGAACGCGCGCGAACTCGACCGTTCTCCTTGGGAATCGATCGAGTTCCGCGGAAGAAAATTAAAAAGTACAATTTTGTCGATCGGAGATAAAGCGTGTATGGGAAGCAAGATGATGAATACGTATTCAAGAGCGCAAGTATGATAATTGTGACGCTTCGATAATGTTGTAGATACGTTTTTTTTCTCGTGAACGAGTGAACAAACCAAACCGCCACCATGGACGCGATCAAGAAGAAGATGCAGGGAATGAAGCTGGAGAAGGACAACGCGATGGATCGCGCGTTGCTCTGCGAACAGCAAGCTCGCGATGCGAACGCGCGAGCCGAAAAGGTAAATTTTCAACATTTTCAAGTTATTATAATGCAAAGAATTAAAGCTTATGACGAATTGAGAATTTATAAATGACTTGATATAATATAAAAAAATCGTAAACGTCTGTTTATCTCTCATATGTAGTACAGAATAAAAATAGCGATGAATAATCGCATCGTAATAAAAATGCGATATATGATTGGTAACCGCGTTCAAAAATTTTAATTATAGATTCGAAATTTTTTTGGTGCCTATATAAATCGCTATAATATAATTTTACGGGTAAAATATTATTATTATTGTTTGCAGTAAATGAATTGTTCGATATATATTTTTTTGTTTAATAAAGGCTGAAGAAGAGGCGCGCGCCTTACAAAAAAAGATCCAGACCATTGAAAATGAACTCGATCAAACTCAGGAGGCTCTTATGCAGGTCAATGCCAAACTTGAGGAGAAAGACAAAGCGCTGCAAAACGTAAGTTAATTGTAATGTTCATTATTAAATAATTTAAATTTCAAATTATTTAAGTATTTTTAATAATTGAAGTTTACTTAATTTACATAAATTAGAAAAAATTGAAAAATTCATCATAAAAACATTTCAATTAAAATAAAAACAATAATTTCATTCGAAAAAACGTAAAAAAAATAAACTCAACCGGTTTTCAAAGGTGAAAACCCATAATTCTTATCAAACAATGTGCTGTTACCGACAGAGTAATGACGTTTAAGCGCCATAAGATGTCGCAGCAATCGTGCGCAAGCGCCTCACGAGGGATGAGTAGATTCCTCGCGAAGTAAGCGCACAGTCGAGCGTTAGTACGCGAAGCTGCCGTTTCGTTTGTTCGGCGGTTCTCGGCAAACTTCGGTTTCATATTGTAATTGACGGGTAGTAGGGGTAACCTGGATCGAGCATAGAGTAATAGACGGAGAAAGAGAGAGAGAAAGCAAGATAGAAATCAGACCAGGACGGTGCAGTGAGCGGAGACCAGCGTGTCTCCTCTCGTGCATGCGTTCGCTTGTCAGGACTGTGTGTGTGTGTTCAACACAAAGAAAGAGACAAAAAGACGTATGCGTGGCGCGGTGAGAAACGTGTTACGAACAGTGACAGACAAGATGGCGGTGTACTTTGTGCAGTGGTAGTAATAGTGGTGCGTAGAGCACATTAAAAAGAGTAGTGGAACGAAGGGGGTTAGTTAAGGGTTGGCAGCTGGTTAGTATGGAACCAGCTCTGACGTCGACCACGAGACGTCGCGGTCATCAACATCATCCGCGACATGCTACGCGCCGACGTCTCGACGCCTCCAGCAGAGGACCCGCGCAGTGTGGCCCTGCTGATATCGTTAAAGATACGGCGATCAGAAACAACGAAACATCAACAACTACAACGTCACCGAAGCTTGATGAAAAAAGCAATGTCATCGATACAAAATGTTCCACTGCGGTGACAGTGCCCACAATCGGCACGAGGTGGCTTCGTGATCCGACGGCCACAGTGTCCACGAAAGATGTAACATCGAATGAAGATTCTAACAAGATAAAATATAATCTTGAACATGATAGAGAAGAAAACATCCGTCATAGGCTCGCGCAGTGTAGCCTGGATGTTCTTGACGAACGACACGAACAATTTGTTCGTAAAAGAAATGAAAATGAAAGCTTTGATAGTTATAAAATGGAAAAAGTATTGGATAATTCTGAATCAAAATCATGTGGGAATGAAATATGTGAAAATAAATCTGATGAAGAAAAGAGAAACAAAGAAAATTCGCCAGAGCCTGAGCACGCGGTCGCGAGGGCTCGCGGTGATGGAAACTCTGACGACGAATCAACTAATGTCGAGGAGGATCCTGAACTTGCTGAACTTGCTAAATTGAGATGTCCTAGCGAAAGAACCGAGGTACAAGCTGAAAGAGAAGCTAAAAGAAGAAAAAGATGCGCTGATTATCCTGGATTAGCCTTTGGATGGTCTATATTCTCCAGCGATACAATGATGAAATTCGGTCTCATAAGGAACGAATTGCAGAATATTATGGGAAACCAGCTAAAACGGGTCAGTATCGTATGATACAATGTTGACGTACCCGGTATGTAGATATGTGTAATTGCATGCAAGGTCACTGCATGATATGACCTTGATGCGCTTTAACGTCGGTCAATGGGTTCTTGTGGGTCATTCGGTCATTGATAACAGAACAAGATAGTCACCTATCAAAATCTCGCTTTCTCTCTCAAACCATATACCGTCCATATTTTTGTCTCTTTTGCGTTTTTTGACTTACACAACGTTTTGTCGAATGAGGTAATCTTCATGAATTCGATACCTTATATGGTGAAGAACGGGTTAAAAATACGTGCGCAGTTAGGTTAGGTGATCTAGTGGTTACCCACGGTGACGTTACAGACCATTTAATCGTTGCTCGAATAGGTTTACGAAGTAACAGACAGCTCTCCTGTTACTCTTTCTGTTTTAATTATACGCTCTTTTCTACCGTTCATCCTGGAAAATAATCGGACCGCCGCGAATACTGATTAGAGAAAGGCCGATTAAAACATCGGAATTTCTGTCGTTGCCAAGTGGAAATCGAAATCAGTTCACATTATCGTACGTTAAATGAATAATGTATTACTATTTATGGCGGTCATATAATAATACTTAAGAGATTATTAACAGCGAGACTTCTTACGGGTCTTAATGATGCTCGATCGTCCGACAAAGAATACTTATTGTATAAGGTTACTGAATGAAGACAATGGGTTAAACATGATTCCAATTGATACGATAAATGGCATTCTTATTTAGCCGACACCAAGCGACTAGTGCAGTTAGCGGGAATCCTTAAATTATTTACAATCATATTTAAACGTCAACGTGTATTGCGATATGATGTTTTCATCAATCCTTTTTTAGTATAATCCCCATTTTTCGTTTAAATATGACAGGTATATGACAGGTATAAATATAACAGGTATAAATATGACAGGTATAAATATGACAGGTATAAATATGACAGTGAATGCAATGCTGCCAAATTTGGAAATTCACTGATTGTACATTATATTTCAGAAATAACTTAACCCAGCAACAAGAAAAAATTTGCTGTAAAATTTTTTAGATTCATAATTCATATAATTTTATTCTTCTTTCTCTTTGATAATTATTAAAAATCTCTAATATTTTTTAAATATTTCTAAAAAATTTAAAAATGATTATTCAAATAAAAAATTATTTTCATACGTAAATATAAAATATTTTTGCAAATCATTTTCAAAAACGAATCCCACCTTGCACTTGTAATATGTTAAACATGAAGAGTATTCATCAATATTCTAAAAATACATGGCTGTTAGTATACAGATCCAGTAACTTTTTTATTCGACACTTCGAAAGAGTATTGCGTAAGCATTGCTCCCAGAATTCTTACAAATCTGTTTCGTTATGAGCATTTATAAACCGGTGACAAAACAGAAAGTTGCAAAATATTCATAACATATTGCACGAAAATTTGGAGCATGTCTGCGATTTATTGTCGATCTTTGAAACAAGATCCGTTTCTTTACTGCTTATCTTAGTCAATGTTTACACGTCACATTTTCTACGTTTTCACATCAATGTGCTGCCATCTATGCTTGCATTATTCGCATAATCATCTTGTGGATGAATCTGTAAATTCTAAAATTCAAATTTGATTATTTTTAATTCGATATTAATGCGAGATTTGCATAATGTTTAAATTTCAAATAGAATAATTGAATATTAAATAGATTTTGTTAGTTTTTTAACAATACATTTCAAACTTTATTTATATTGCAATCATTTTTTAATATTTTATATTTATATTTTTTTAATTTTTTGTATTTTATTTAAAGAATATTTAATTTATTTTTTGCATTTATATATAAAATATGAGTTTAAAACGATTCGATAGCTAATAATAATTATATTTTAATGTAATTTAATTTTGTTACACATAATAATTAAAATTAATAAATATAAATAGTAAGAAACTTTATAAAACTCATAATCTTACTAAACTGCATTGTAAATTAAATTGATTTTTCTTAAAACTATATTTTTGAATCAAACGATTGCAATATATTTAAAAATAATATTAAATTAATGAATATATAATTTATTTCTTACTTACCATTTATAATTATACTCTTAAATATCATAATGGAATATACATATTACTATTTCAGTTAAAATTTAAATTATTATTTAATTTAAATTCGTTATATTCAATTTTTTATAATCGTGTCTTTATTAAATTCTTTCTGAAACATATAATAAAGTATAATTTATTATTAGATATATAACTGTTGTACTATTGATCTTTATTATTATTTAAATTTGCGAGTCACTCATTCATCATACTTACTTTTAGTCATAAAATCTAAACCGGCAATTATTGGAAACAATCATTCTGTCGAAGAAAGATTACGTTCATACTGAAATTATCATTGATGCGTAGAATAAACGTGCATTGCCCCTCATTATGGATGAAAAAGTAAAAGAAGTGAAACAACGCAGGAATTGTTGTCGACCGTCCATTCGAACGGTTGGGCGCGCTCGGGACGGGCGCGGTATTTCCGGGGCTCTGCGCGCGACGACACGTCGATCGGCGTAGCGATACTTGGCGTGCGCATCATGCTTCGTGACACGGTCATGAAAAGAAAAAAAGAATGATTAATCAATGAACTAAATGTTTTTAATAATAGACATGATTAAATACAAAGCATTTGAATGATAGTATCAATTGGGACTTGGTTAAATAGAAATTTTTTATTAAATATTTTGGAACAAGCGTCGTTAAGGGCAAGGGACTATTTGATGTCCGCACAATGTTAGCGCGCATGCGCGTCCTGACCGGGGGCAGCCATCTTGCTTTCCAGTCAACAGCAGCCAGTGGTCGTCAGTGTACGACAGCTCGAAGGCTACGAAACTCTCTTTCGCACGGGTACCGGTCGTTTCTCGTACCCTGACATACTTGGTCTTCGTACTTCGTATTCACCGGCTATCTTAGATTCTTGACTTTTTGTTTACAGTACGAATATTACCTCGATCCATACACGAGATTCGTAATCGCGACGTTTATAAGTGAGAAAACGTTAACACGCGCGAATATTCAGCAGCATGTCGACGCAAGTGCAGGGCACCCTTCTCGACGTGCTCAAGAAGAAAATGAGGCAGACTAAGGAGGAAATGGAAAAGTACAAGGACGAATGCGAGGAGTATCAGAAGCGGCTGCAGGTGGAAGTGATACGCCGCGAGGAAGTGAGTGAAAAAAATTACCTCATGATCGTATCTCTTCCAGTTCCATCGTACACGAATTAGCTCGACTGATATAGAATTTTTAGTTGAGGATATGTTTCAAGTTTTTCTTTCATTTTACTTATTTCCGTGGCATAACCTATGCGATATCCTACAAATCCATTGATTGTTATATGACGCTTGAATAGCGACATGAATTGAGTATACGACAGGAAGAAATTCAGTGAGTTTTGTTGATTTGGATACTTAATATATATATTCATGTGAAATGCACAGATTCTAAACACGATTGATTCGTCTCGTGATCGGCTCGTTCTGCGATTAATTTCATTGTGAACTCGTACTATATGATTCGCGGCGTGTCTTTACCGGAAATATGGTGCTCAACTTCATGGCATTCGTTTGGAAAAGTATCGATCGGTTCGCGTCAGAGAAATTTTTATCAAGGATAATGAATAAAGTCAATCAAACGACATCACATTTGACATGTTAATTTAAAAATGTAGAACACCAATCGTCTCCGAATCGATGGACTTTCGATAAAAATCCTTTTTTCTTTTATACAAAATGCCAGAGCCGGCATCTACACAGCTATAGGATCGATCGTGAGTGTCAGGCACGTCGTTGTCAGGCTGGGTTGTGCCTCTGGAGAGGGCAGCCAGGGAATATAGAAGGGATACCGACTCGACTCACACTCGAGACATTCTTGATACAACGAGAGGACTTGCTTGAAAACTTATTTCTTCTATTCTTGAGTCTTTACTAAATAATTCTAATTAAATATTTCAAAAAACATAGTAAAGTTATTTATCAAGAATTAATAATTAACGCAATGCGTTAAACCGTTAACCGCTTAACTCTTAACCGATCGTATCACTCATTTTCAAGCTGACATCTATCCATATCATATCATTCGCATGAAAGCATGCGGGATTGTCGGTCAATTTTTATACGATTTTATATCATACGATCGTACAACGATTCGTATATGCAAAGTTCTTTCTGTAGTATTATGACACAACTTCCACAATATGATCTGATAAGTTTTTTAGGACAATTACATTTGCATTGATTATATATCAAGTGTAAAAAAAATTCTAATTTATGTTTTTTAATTATTTCGTTATGAATCAAGAATATAAAAAATTGAATAAAAATATATAGTAGTTTATTTAAAAAATATTTTATACAAACCTCATAAATATAAGTGTGCAATGTGTACTTTAATAAAGGAAAGATCGATGAAGAGCGAGGGTGTAGTCTAGGTGTAAGCGTTCATCAGCCTCGATTTAACGGATTTACACCACAATCTTGTTTTTGCTCTTTTCTTTTTTGCTGGCAGACTGGTGGAACGTAATATGCATAGCTTCTAGTAAAGGTAGTCGCTGGAAATATTCTAGTATATAAAATATTCAAATATTATGAATAATATGTATCATTTAAATTATTTAAACACAATGGCTTTAATCTTCTATTTTTTTTCTGTGTTTATGATTTTAAATTTAAACATTTCTCTCTCAAAGTCAAATTTCAATCTGTACGAGTTATCTATATTTTTTTTTCTTTTCGATCATTATAATGCTTTCAGTAATCGAATTCATGATTAAGTTTCAAGAATCTATAGATAAGTGACTTGAAATTTCAAAGATGAGCACAAGAAATTCGTGTCCAATTCTATTTAACGCATGCTTACACATTAAAAACCATTGTTTGTCTTTTTTTGTACTAAGAAGACATTACTGACTATTTCTATATATATGTATATAACCATATATCTATCTCGTATTATTTATGTTTTATTTTCTTACGGAATGTTTTATTTTCTTACGGAGACTCTTTCATCCCTTGTCAAGAAAATCTATCATAAACTTTATATAATATCTTATTCTTTCATTGTGACTGTGAATTTTGGTAAAATTATTGATGAAAGAAGTAATCAAGTCATTATATTCTTTTTCGTAAAACAGACATATAAGATGTCTAAAAATGTTCAATATTAAAAAAATATTTTAAAAGAAAATTATCTTTATTTTATTATTATATTATATTTATTGTTTGTTTTTGAAATTTCATTTCAGTCAATCAATAAATAATCTCTAATAAATATTATAAATTAAATAGGTCACAAATTTTAATTATAAACTCTATTAAATTAATTATAAATCTCTATTACATAAAAAATTTTCATTATTTTATATAAAAAATTACAATCTGTTCATTTTTAATTTATGTTATTTTAGATTATTCAAAATCATTTTAAATCATTAATTTTTTTGTTATTAACGTTATTATACAAAAAGATCATTTATCTTGAAAATATAAAAGAGTCAGCACAATATACATCTTCTAATTCATTCTAAACAATTATCAAATCCTCACTCTCATAAATCAATAACAATTACAAGGAACCATTTACGGTAACAAAAGCCATTTTCCTTGCGGATTATACCTTGTAGATTAACCTTGGATAGCCTCCGAAAAATGTCAATGTATGTATTTCCAGTGACGTTGCTCACTTTCTGCCGCTGACGTGTCGCTGTCCTAAAAGGCCAACGAATAGAAGCTCGGTGAAGCTTCACTAACAAGCTTTTGTCATTGAGCAATGAAGTGCACTGCCGTGTATGCAGCTCCCCCGTTTATTTTTCTTCCTTTTCTCTTCTTCTTCTTCTTCTTCTTCTTCTTCATTCTCTCGTTTAATAGAAACTAGATAACCAGCGCCCGCCACATTGTGAAGATTTATCTCGTGGTATAATACCGCGGGTTCGGTTCATTGATTTATCCGACATCGACAGATTTAGCGCGTATCGTGAAAGTGATATTACGTACGAGCTGTACGACAGCACGTGGCGTCTCTTTTATTGAGAAGTTTATATAATCGAACCTTGATTGTCATCCTAGGGATAGATTTATTAATAAACAAATAAGCATCGACGTATTATCCATTTTTGTACTCCATTATAATGTAATTTTTATTGATTTTAGCATTGATTTTTATTGATTACTAATTAATCGATCAATGATATATTTTTCATTGGGAATGTTTTTAAAAAAAATTAGTGTATGATATTTTTTCATTTCCAAATCCGATTTAATGTTTTCTTATTTTTGAAAAAAAAAGCGATCCTGCAAATTAATTGAATAATATCATCTGAAATTCAATTAGATTATTAGATTATTAGATTAGAATTCTCGTTGTAATATTAAAGCTATAATAGTTTTATATCTCAAATCAATTTTTTAAAAAAAATTTTTAAAAGATAATATCTAATTACTATTAAGGATGAAATATTAATAAAAATAAATATAATAATTTTTAAGAATTAAAAGTAATTTTTCTTTTCAACGATTATAGGAAAATAAAAAAATAAAATTAATTCACTTAATTTTTTAAAATATTGTTAAATAAATTCATCTAAATAACATGTAAACACAGTAGTAGAATCGTGTTGAATTAACAGAACGTAATGGAAGTAACGGAGGGTGATCGTTGGCGGAAGTTTGGCACACTTACCAACATTACCTACGATCGACGAGACCTGTTCGGCTGTGCTAGTATGCGTGGGCGTGTCGGTTTCTTCCGAATGCAGAATCATAGATGCATAGCTTGATAGAATCGATTGATCGGTTCTATAACGGAAATACGCGAGACCGGAAGTGGCTCGTGCGCCAGGTTAAAATATTACACACCGTGACGGATTATTCCGGTCGGTAATTTAACCGACTATATGGTCTGGATACGAATTATTATAACATTGTACGAACAAGCATAGGCGTAAACTCCGATTTGTATGAATCATTTTAAATAAAAGGAACAATGATATTAATGAAGTTCGTGATAATATAACTTTCGGATTTGTTTACACTTTCAAAATTGAATGATATAAAACAATATTATTGTAAAAAAAAAAAAATAAGAATAAGTTATACTACAAATTATATTAATAAAAAAATAAAGTATAAATTGCCTTAATTTATGTTAATACAATTTAATAGTTTTCAATTGTTATTAAATCGTTGATTTACTAGTAAAACTACAAAACAAATTACGTTAAAAGCAATGTTATAGATAATTATAGATAATGGAATCAATCAGTGAACTCCAATTATACGAATTGTTGTGTCTTTCATCATCGATTTCAAAATTTTCTATTTTTTCGCATATTGCATAAATGAAGGCAATGTATTAATCAATTCTACGAAAGATATGATAACCAGAATCACTAAAGGTGTTCTCGTTATCGTTGTTTTCGTTATGAATTTCTATGCGTCATCGGTCAAGAAGGAGTGTCGAATCAGTCCGGATGTGAAATGTTAGTGTGATCGAAGAGTGGCACGTGCATGAAAGCGCGGGCAATGCCTGGTTCACGCACATTGAATTGGGATTTATCCACACGGCGTACAATCGATGCAGGTGCAGCCGCAAACGAGGACAAGGGCCTCGAATTGCGTAGAGACGAATACATACGTAATCAAGCGTTAAGCAATTTACATTTGTAAGGGCGTTTGACGTAATACAGTAAAACGATGAGACTCTCTTTTGAATGATTTCGAATCTTAATTGGAAAATGTTTTAATCATCTCTTGTATTATAAAGGAATTTATTCTGAATAGATTAATTTAAACTCTTAATTCTTACAAATGTAATTTCCTTTAGAAATTGTTTATTTATTATGAGTGTGAATCATAAATTTATCGATAAAGATATCGATATCGGATTAACTAGTAATTAATCAGTAACTGATTAAAAAATAAATGTTGATAAATTTTTTTACAATAAGCCTACACGTTATAAATAAACAATATTTACGAATTTCATTTATCATAAGTTCTTTTATATAATAATTTAAAGAGAAAATATTTTAAAATAAATATATAATATTATACAAAATAACAATGCTAATTTCATAGAAAATTATTCTAAATAAAAATTTGACTAATGTCTCCGTGAAAAAAAACAACGATTTCTCTATTGAAAATCACATCATGAAATAGGAATTTATATGAATATAATTATTCGAAATCAAGTTTTATGTTAGATATTTAATTCATGTTAAGCTATTTTTTAAATTAAATAAAATAAACATAGTTTTGTTTATTTTATGATCAGATGATTTTCTATGAGACAATCGTTCCATTTCTAAAGAGGAATACGAGGTTACTCGCGTGCAAATGCACGTGGATGCTGCGAAAAACGTCCATTCAATTAAATCAATTGTAGCTATGAGCACGAGCTCTAAAGGAAGGAAACTAGGGTCATTGATATGCGAACGGAGTAAAGACCTTGGCGATCTCGCGACTGATTCGTTCCTAATTGCGAATCCTAATCACGTGTTATGTGATCGTGATCGCTAAATTTTTATTTTTTTATTTTTTTCGCCTTAGAAATAATTTTTTCTTTTATATATTTTTTCTTTTTATATATTTATTATTTTTCATTTCATTTTATTGATTCTTTTCTTCGTTTATGCAAATGCAAGGATAAAGAAATTGAAAAAATCTGTATCGAGTTAAAAATAATCGATGCAGTCGCTGTCAATCAATGACGATAACTTATCTAAAGTTTAATCTTAACTTTGTTCGTTTACATTACGTTAATGAATTTATTACAACCTTGTAACTCACCAGTTAAAAAATTGGAACGATAACTATTGTTTTTACAACTATAAAGAGGAAGTGTATAATGAGGATGTGTCATTCATAAAGTCAAAGCCTTTCACTATTATAATTTTTATCAATGCAAATGTTGTCCATTTTTAAATCCCGTTTTATCACAGTAGCTTAAAATGTACACGAATAATAATAAATATTTTTTATCTATTTATCAAAATAAAAATAAAAAAAAAAAGATATAGAAATATGAATTTGAAAGAAAGATAAAGAAATATGAATTTCAAAAATCAAATATTATTTAAAAGATCTTTGATCTAAAAATATTTTTTCCTTTTTTTATAGGCTGAGTCCGAAGTAGCCGCTCTGAATCGTCGTATCCAATTGTTGGAGGAGGATCTCGAGAGATCGGAGGAACGCCTTGCAACGGCCACTGCTAAATTGGCAGAGGCGTCGCAAGCAGCGGATGAGAGCGAACGGTAAACGAATTCCACATTTCTATAGTTTCTCCGCAATAATACTTGGAGTATGTACGACCACGTAAATCTTATAAATATCCGTTCGTTGACGTATCTTTTTTGCTACGCACATCGATGGATATTTATAAAAAGATTTATAAAAAGAAATTGTTCAGTACAGTGACTATGTAACTCAATGGACAGATAATAACAATCTCCTTCCTCAATTGATTCATAAGTAAAAGTTCGATTAATAATAATTTTTTTTCGATATTTATGAGAATGGTGTTGAATTTGTTAATGAAACTGTTGAAAGTTATAGTCTTATTAGAAAGTATATGTAATGGATTATTATTGTCCATCCTCTATGAGATTATGAGACTTTAACGTGATGGCTGAAAATTTTTAATTCTTCATAATATCTATTATTTTATTCTTAATACATCTTATAAATATTAGAATAACATATAATTCCTGAATGTGAAAATTAAATTAAAATAAATATATTATAGCTAACACGTTGAATTTTCTATTGAAATTATTGTAAAGGAAATTGAATTTATTTGATCTATAAAATATTATTAATTTTGTTGTGAGAAAATTTCAATTAAAATAATTTTTTAGAATTCAATAAAATAATGTTTAACTATTTAGAATAATTAAATTATATCTCTTATTTAAAAATGAAAATAATTTTTGCTCAAATAAATAAATTCTAATTTTAACCAAATTATTATTACAATAATTTCAAAAATAAATGTCAATCACTTCAAATGAAATATGAAAAATGTCGTACATTACTCTAAAAAGAAACCAAATCTGTACGTTTAAAGAAATCGAAACGAAAGAGCCGACAATATATTCTCGAATGATCTTATGTTCTCTATCTATCTATAAATAATCGCACAATACTGTATTGTAATGTTTCGCGGTTAATACCACGCCGAATATAGATCTTGAAATAGGTTATATTTATATGATAATGGAACCCGCACCCAGACATGAATTACACACTACATATCCAAGGTTGCTTGCGAACTAGCAATTACACTGATTTTATGAACCGTGCATTTTCATTAGCTCGCGTAAAGTGGTTAATTATCGATAGACCTGTTTCAGAATATGATGCAATTACATATTACGCGAGCATTAAATTTAATTAACACTTGATCATTTGATTATAGAAATGTGGAACACTTTATTTTTCTCACATTTATACATTTCAATCTGATCGAGAAACGTCAACATGCTCTTTCGTTTTCGAATTTCGATCGACGTACACGATATTATTTATCGATAGGATTAAACTTTTCGACGTTGAAAGAACTTCGAAATTATTTTTCCATTACAAGTTTTCACACTTATTGATCGATTCAAATCCCGATTATTGTTAAAATAAAAATTATTGACTAAATCGTGACTTTGAAGCTTCAGAAAAGCAGATTCATAATTGATTTGACACGTATATGAAATAGTATAGACATTGATAACACATGATTTTCTTGATTCCTTATTCCGGGAAAAGAAGTTGATAATCATCGAGAGATTTGCAAATTTTATCGTCAAGAACGATATTTTATCATCGCTTTTGCGATTCGAAATAATAAAAATTCTTTACGCGAGTTCTTTATCTGAAAACGATAAATAAAATTCTTTTATTGGAAATAATATTTTCAAAAAATACCGTTTATTTATAATTTTTAGAAATATCTATATCTACAGATAATAAATGCTTGAAAAATTATATCATAGCTTAAATAAAAAAATGATTTTTAATTTTATATTTAAATACCTATATATGTTGAAAAATTGGAAGATAGTTTTTTCGCGACCGCAAAAAAGAAATTTTCATATGTCGATGATTTTTCTTTCAACGGCGACCAAATCGGTGCTAAAAGTCGAATGATAATCGATCGCTAGGATACGCAAGGCACTCGAAAACCGTACCAATATGGAAGATGACCGGGTATCCCTGCTGGAGCAGCAGCTAGCACAGGCTAAATTGATCGCCGAGGAGGCGGATAAAAAATACGAGGAGGTGGGTCACGTACAGCGAACAAAAAAAACAATATTTTTACGGCAATCGTTTGGAAGCGAATTCTGTATTCATTCTGATGAACTGAGATTCACTTTATAAATTTTAAATCGATGTTTAATCGAAAATTTGAATAAAATTTATTGAAATTCATTTGTATTTTCGTAACAAAAATCAAATTTAAATTTTGAAACTTTGGCCAATTTTTCTCTCCCAATACTCTTTTAATAAGATTTTCAATTAAATATTTTAAGAGAAAGTTTGGATTAAAATTGATAGGAAGAATTATGTATATTAATTTAGTTCATTGAATTTAAAATTAATCACAGGACAGAAAATAACTTGTTCAACAGGTTTTCGTTGCAAAATGTCGAAATATTTCATAAGAATTACGAAATAAAATTATATCACGCTTTTCGAGGGAATGAAAGTTTTCTAAAAGACGAAGGTTCGTCAAAATAAATCATCGAATTCGCTCCTACAGGTAAATCTTTTCAGGTAGGAATTCGAGCAGGTAGCTGGAGAGCAGTGCCGTAACCAGTCAACATGAAATCCCATATCTCTAAACGAGACAACGATCGATAATCTAAAAAAAATTTTTCCTTCCAGCGATATTTCCATTCGTAATGTATGTTAATCCCGATTCTTTGTGATAATTATTAAAGAGCCCGCAAGATTCTCGAGAATCGCAGCTTGGCCGATGAAGAGCGCATGGATGCCCTAGAAAATCAGCTGAAGGAGGCCAGGTTCCTTGCTGAAGAAGCTGACAAGAAATACGATGAGGTTCGCGAGCCCACGACTGACAAGCGTGATGGCTTCAGTGACAATAATCATGATAAAAATAATGATGATAATAATAATGATGATGATGATGATGGTTCCTAGTTAATAGTCGAGATAATAGTGCCTAACCCCATAACTTTCTGTCTTCTCTTTGTGTGTTCGAAATCACCGTGGCTGTAAAATACGAAAAAAGAATCTATTCAAACGTATTAATCGAGTATAAAGTAAACGCGATATTCGTAACTCGATAATTTAATCTAATCGATATACGTATTTCGATTTTTCCTTGAATCGTTCGAATATATTGTTTCTAGAAAAATATTTCGATCAGAATAAAATTTTATCGATAGTAAAATTCGTAATAAACTACGAAGCAAAACGGGGTTGGATGTCTTAATT